GGCCTAATCTCTTTGAACTTGCAGATTTGTCGCTCTTTACGTTAAAATGCAATGTGATAACTTTTAGCTCTGGGTTGCTTGACAAAAAAACAGCCGAAATGGAAATACACATAGATTTTCTAGAGCTATATGTACAAGAAAATCAAAAGATGAGAGAATAAACTTATGATAAAAATATCCAATAAAGTTTGCCAACCTCCAAATTAATTTGCAGGCTCACGGATTGAGCCCCATCAATCTAAATACAAGCAGGCTACAGTTGACTTGTCTGAGGAAAATGACTGTCTTCTGTCTCTGGTAGCAAACTGGAGCCACAACTCATACCATTTTCTGGATCATGGTGTTTTGAAAACCAACTATTACACTCTTTCACTTTTCTGCATACCGAAGAAAAACCTTTATTCTTATGCAAATCTGGAACTAAGATCGTTGTTTGAGACGTTAGAGTTTTCATTCGTTTTTTTTATAACTATAAAACTTGAAATTTCGGTGGGGAATTTTAAATAATCGTGTAGTAGATATAGGCTTTATATTTCATAAACAAAATGGGGACCTTCACTATATAGCATCACTTTCAGTACTTTCGTTGTTGCTGTTGTTGTTGTTGTTGTTGTTGTTGTTGTTGTTGTTGTTGTTGTTGTTGTTGTTGTTGTTGTTGTTGTTGTTTTGGGTTTTTTTCTTAACACATAAAGCCCTATTTGTTTGTCTCATGTGAACTGTTTGCTTTGATGTTCTCCCATGTTTTGGGCCTATTGAGGAAATTGTTGAACAGTTTACGACACTGTTGAAAATGTACCTCTTTGGTGAAAGGAAATAAGTGCCTCCTCAATTTTTTAAAGCCATGATTTCGTCATGACTACCAAGAGAAGTAAATATTTAATAATGACAAAGTCAATACTAGGCTATCTCAATTTGTGTGGCTAGGCCATGAGGAGCCTCCCACTTTCTCCTCCCGGAGTGAAACTTGTTGTCTTTTCCTGTGGGGATAACACTTCGTAGATTCAGCTTTATTGTAGTAGAAGCAATCAGATGCACAAATTATCCATCATCATTATGTACGTTGGTTCAGTTTGACAGCAACTAAGAAAACGCAAAAGAATCGGGAAACAATGTTACAGGCTGAAAGGAGTTCTTGAACTAAGGGGGTATATGATTATTTTGATAGCTGTCTGCCCTATAAGCTTGATCACTGTCTGGGGTCTCTTCAAAAGATTTACAAGGGTTGAAAGAGACTTTAAACTCATACCTCACCCTTTATCATAATACCACACAATGTCGAGGTCTACGTGGAGAATGGGCCATACATAAGGGGAAGTAATCAAAATTACTAGGTGATAAAAGAAATTATGTGATTCTTTCCCTTGGTTAAAAGACTGCTCTTAGCGGAGACTTCATAATTATCTTTCGCCTTCAGAAGTTTAAAGTTCCAACATCAGACCATTAGATTAAGTACAACTTAAAGATAAATTGTTAAAAGTACGTGTCCGTGTTCCGTTTGTATTGTCTGTGCTTTCTAAAAAGAGATTAATGTTTTACAAGACCACTTGGACAAAAATAAAAACCACTATTAAAAATGATGCCACAAAGGAAAGAGAACGATATATAAATAGATAGATTTTATTGTTTGACATCAAATAGTAACTTCCGATTCTTATGAGATAATCCGATAGATAAAAATACAATATCATTTCTGATGAGCTGTATCGCATGCCAAGTATACTTGACTGACCCAGTGTGAGAGATATGATATTGTATATGTAATTATTGGCAGCCGTCGTCTGTCACCTCTGCAGAATGAACAACTTCCCCTGATGCCAGTAACAGATACCGTAACCAGTCAATGCTGGACCATGACTTTTAAATGAAATTGTGAGGCAGCGTGGTGGAATCAGGCTCTCTTCAAAATAATGAAATCGAAGAAAACAGCAGTTTTCTCATAGCTTGGCAAATTTTGTCAAATTTTTGTTTTTTGGCTCAACATCTTTTATATCCATTTACAAACACATTCCTTTGACGATTTCATCGAAAACGTTGATTTAGGGCACAAAAATATAAATTTACAGTTTCCATGGACTCCCCAGCTTAGAATTTACCAAGCTTTGGCGGCCATTTTCTAGCTAATTTTACCTCTTAAACTAGGTGACCCCAACCTCCTTCAATCCAAAATATCTCCACTTTTATTGAAGATGGAAGGGTAATTTTTTCATGGAAAGCAAGACAAATGAACAAGCTTTGAGATGATACCAATGACTCAATATACCCAGAAATTGACGAGAGCCTGATTCCACCACGCTGCCTCACAATTACACCCAGTAGGAGCATCGTTAATACCTCAACCCCCTACCCGCCCAACTTTTTATTAATCTTAATCCATCATCCTCTTCACAACATATCTCCGGGCTTTGTATGCCATTATCACAAAAAACCAGGTCTGAAGCAGACATCGGTGATCATTGTTCTCAACTTATTTCTCTTCTCAGACGCTCTCCACTTTTATTGTATTGAGGTTTTTTCTTCCATCATCCATAAAATTCAAAAGTCCCAGAAACTGAATTTATCTATTTTTAATTGTTCTTATTTGTAGGGATAAATTGAAATTATTATGATGGGCTGTGTTGCGGACTACCCTCGATGAACGATCCCAGTTAAAATTGTTGAACTTTGGTAGCTTCCTCGGCTCTCTACCCACTTGATTTTGTCCATTCGGGGTCGTCTTGACATTCATAGATCACGTCTCATAAAATACCTCACCGCTATATTGAAGGGGTGTGAACGTGAAACCCAAAGAATGTACGCATCAGAGCCCCCACTTCTTTTTCTTAAGATTACAAGACATTATCTGGTCAGGCCAGAGGGGGAAGGGGACGGGGCTGCATCGCCCCCC